TGTAATACTATTGAAGCAATACTATTGTTACAAGCAATTTAGATGAGAGTTTGATAGATGAGCTTTGTAGCAAGCTTCCACAAAATATGCAGGTATGTGTAAGAAATTGTTTTCGAAACAGTAATCGTCATTCACATGGGTATCGCTATGATTCTAAGTTGAAAACAATAGCATTAGGAGTTTATTTTCTTTCACCCCTAACTTACAGACATTTACGTGTAAGTTTTAATTGGCCATCAGAACGAACCTTACGAGAGTTCGTCACAAGTTGGCCCAAGTCTCCAGGCTGCACGCATAGTAGTATTAAAGCTTTGGAGTTACGAAGTCGTGGCTTCTCATACGAACAAAGATTCGTTTCTGTATCCTGCGATGAAATATCTTTGAAAGGTCACCTTCAGTATGACAGACATAATGACAAAATAGTTGGGCTTGAAGATTTTGGTGGTGAAGATCGTACTTGCGAAATTGCAAGTACTGTCTTGACTTTCATGGTACAAGGAATCGCAGGAGTAAGATGGTCTCAGCCTCTTGCATACTTTTTTGTAAATGGAAGTTGCAAGGGTGAAGTTCTGAAATCGTATGTTATTGAAGTAATTCAACAACTTCAGGGCATTAATCTTTACCCATGCCATTTCGTTTGTGATCAGGGTAGAAACAATATTAAATTAGCTAAGTTATTAGAAGTAGATGTGCATCACCCTTTTTTTAATGTCAATGATGAAAAGATATTCTTTTTTTATGATGCACCCCATTTGATAAAAAGTACCAGGAATTGTTTAGAAAATAGCAGTAATAATGTTATATTTAATAATTGTAAAGTAAGTTGGGAAGATATTGTTCATTTTTTTAATATTGATTCAAAATCAACTATTCGATGTGCGCCTCACTTGACAAATGCACATATTAGGCCCAATTCTTTTCAAAAAATGCGTAATAGATTCGCTGCTCAAGTATTTAGCAACACAGTTGCATCAGGAATGAGAGCATTGTGTAAATCAGGTTTAATTGATTCAAGTAATACGAATACTGTTAACACTGCTGAATTTGTTCTGTTTTTTAATAATCTTTTTGATGTATTCAATTCAAGCAGCACCAGTAGGTTAGGACTTAAAAAAGGCTTTTGCGGATCAATTGAACAATTGAATTTTCTGCAAAAAGCCGAAATTCTTCTCAAATCCATTAGATTTGAAGACAACGAAGGTAACAATGTTGTTAAGAACTTCTCTTTTATTAAAGGGTGGTTTCTCAATATTAACAGCCTTCAGCATATATGGCAATATTTAGCCTCTAAGAATTTTCAGATTTTAATGACCAGAAAGCTTTGTCAAGATGTGATAGAACATTTTTTTGGACAAATACGACGTGGTGGAGGCAATTGTGCAGACATCACTCCACATTTATTCACTTGCATTTTTCAGAAGAGATGGGGATTAAGTTATTTGAATTGCATAGTAAATGGCAATACTGAGCAATTAATTGAATTTGACTGTCCTTCTACCGTAGGCCCTACCATTAATTCACTTACTCCAATTTACCCTGATCAGAGTTTAGAAACTGTATGCAGTGATGCATTAGTGATTGACACGTTCTGGAAGGAGTCTCATATGTTTAGATCACCCATGTACTGTTTTCTTCATTGTTTTGATTTTGATGTTGATATTGATATGGATGAACGTATATTCCTTAGCAGAAATGCATTTATTTATGTATGCGGGTGGTTATACTTTAAAATTCACAAATCACACAATTGCCAAGCTAACCTACCCTTAGCAAATGTTCTTTCATAAGAAAACTTTTTTACTCTTGAAAAAGAGTTTGATAACTGTAATTTGCTACCTCCTAAATATTTCGTAGATTATATTCAAAAATTAGATAAAGAATTTTGCAAACACTTTAATAGCAGTTACCAAAAAGTAGGTATAGCACAATTTTAATACCAAAAATTAAAAAATATACGTCCATATGTTTGCTGTCAAAACTGCAAAACAGACAGTATTTTAACTCTTTTTATAAGAGTACGCATATATTTCCTGTTAAAATTTTTTAATAGGGTTCTGAATACACCTGACTATACGCAAAAGCTCTTGCGTGTAACGCATTTATAGCCTTAGTTTTCCACATGATATTCAGTTGACTTTTACATATAAATTAATTTTTTAAATTAAATTTTTATTTTAATAATTTTTTTGCTTTTAGTTTATGTATATTTAAATTTGCAATTAATTTTTAAAAGTATTGTAATTATTATTCTGTTAATTTTTTTTTTTGCAAAAATCTGTAAAAAATTATAACGAATAAATAATGGTGAATATGCCTCTTGGGGAACCGACACCTAAACTCGGTAACGCACCTTTATGCATACCTCTTGGGTGGTGTGGAAAATGTATACCAAATCTTGAACTTTGGTCGAATAAGCTACATAGCTAAATAAACTAAATGTAGAAATAGGAAAATACAAGGGATGTAAAAAATTTGTTAAGGTTCTTTTTTTAAATTTCCACACAATAATGATGAAAGAAAATAAATTTTCATTTAAGTTCTATGCATATTTCTAATATAACAGTTTAGCGAAAGTATTTTACTATTTATTTTAAGATATTAGTAGGTGTGCATTTTATGTTCACATTGAGATAAAAATATTTACAACATAAACATAAGGCGCTACATGATAATAATCATATCCCTAATAAATTTATGTTTTTAAGGTTATTTAAATTCTGAAGAATATATTCATATATTCTATACATAATCAACACAAAAAAAATAAATATGTTTTTAATTTTTATATTATGTAAATATTTATAATATTCATCAAACAGATGAACTAAAAATGTGTAGCATATATCTCGTTTAAATCTTGCATTAATTCTGGTAAATAATCAATTCTATTTAATTTCATAACAATAATAAATTATGTAAACAACTTGTACTTCTTTTAATTAAACTTAACTAATATTTTTAAATACTTTAGTATTTATATATAAATATATTTTATAATCATAATATAAAATTAAAATTTTTCAATATTAAAATTTAAAAATTGTTAAATTTTATATAAAAATATATCTACATAAGAAAAGCTCATAAACCCGACAATGAATGCGCATGCACCCACTCTTATCAATAGATTTTTCGCTACTGATCATACTGTAATGTATGTAAATTAATAATAAGTATTATTCACTACATTTAGAGCGAATGCGCGCACACCCTCCCTTATCAACAGATTTATTGTTACTGATCAATTAGAAAACATGTAAGGCAATAATACGTACCGCACACATTTAAAGGGAATGCGCGTACACCATTCCTCAGCAACATATTTTTTGGCACTAAATTTAAAAATTAAGTCTTCGCAGAGAAACACAATTTATCATGGATCACTTAAGTGCTGCCGTATAAAAAAAGTGAATTGGTAGTAGCTTCAGTCTTTGTTATTAATTTCACATCAAAACGGTATTTAATGCTATTATATCAAAATTGTTTTTGAAATAATGTTTTACACGCTCAAAAAATATTTAAGAAAACTTATTAACTTATTAAATAAGAAATATTCAAAACTGTTTGTTTTATTTAATTAAAAAATTTGCTTCTACAAAAGTTTGTTGTCGAATGTAATAAATTAAAATACTATAAAATTCATATGAAAAAAGCAACAAAAATCAATTTACTGAATATATATTACATTATTAAGCAAACTAAACTGATTTAAATTAATTGATTTAAATTATTATATATTAATTTTTATATTTATTTATCACATATTATATATTACAATATATATTTTGTTTACGTAATGTGATATTAGGCTTTTTCGGTGGCTCGCAAGTACGGCAAAAAATGCATGTTGGCCTATGTTGGCCACGCGAGTCATTGGCTTCACTGTTGCAATCTGTCAAATGTTTTGTTTTGACAAACAGCAAATCTTGTATATGTGCATATAAATCAAATATATTTTTATAAAAATATTATAAAATTAAAATGAACACGGAATTAAAAGGAATGGTAAGAATATGGGAAATTTAAAAATAAAACACTAAGATAAGTAAATTTTTGTAGGTACTGTCGATGTTGGGAGAAGGAAGCAACGTTTTGCAGTGGCCGAGTGATGCAAGTTGTTTCATGGATTTTTTAAATGTTATGAATGCCGCAACAACCTCCTCTGAAGATTCTCTTCCTTTCGTGTCAGGTAGCACTCTAGAAAACACTTCGTTTCCTTTGTGGTCCATAGTTTGGGTGTATTTCTATAAAAAATTTTTTAGAAAAACTTCAAAAATTATGTTTGTTTATTAATTTTACGTATGTAAACTACAAATTAAATGAAATAAAATAAATGTTACTTGGTAATAACTAACATAATAAAAAATTCAATGTGCTTAATACTTACGATTTCTCCATTCTTATTATTTCTTCGTTACTTTTCAAGATTTTTCAAATTTTTGAATTCTGTTTGAATTTTTATTTCCTCAATTTTTGACATTTGATTGCACTATTCGTTGGAATTTTCAATGAAGGTTCACAATAGTTCGCTTATTGCGTTGGTAATATTTTTTTTTTTACTGGCCGATGTGGTTGGCTAGCATAACTATGCTGGCCGAGGTAGAGAAAATAGTGTTGTTGTTTTGCATACATTGCGGCCAGTATAGGCCTGCATAGGCCAACAACTTGCTGTTTTTTGCCGTACTTGGGAGCCACCGAATACGCCTATTATTAACCAAATAAGGAAGCATAAGTTTTTTATATTACTAAAAAGTTAATATATGATTAGCAAGTAGCAGCAAATTATTATACTGCAACCCCAAAAAGAGAGTAATTTGATGTTATCGTGGTAAGATCACATGTATTTAATACGTGTGCCAAAATGTTATAAAAAATAAGTTTTCAAAAGCAATTTCAAATGCACTCTCACGAAGTGGGCGGAGTTTCCGTTCTTGTAAAGATATTCTTTGGTAATAACTAAGTTACTCAAAAAATATAAAAAAATTTTTAAAAAACTTTTTGTGCCAATTTTCTTTAGGACCTACCAACATCGTTACTATCTTGGCGCGGCTGAAAATTATTAAATATGTTGTTAAATGTGGCGATTAGACGATCTTATTGTTACAGGCCCGTTAAACGTTGGAAAATATTCAAAGATTTGAATGAAGACAGCACAAAAAAAGGGGAAGTTGCAATTAATTTAGCTAAACATATAAGAAACAGGATAATAGCTACTGGACCAATCACAGTGGCGCAATATATGACTGAAGTATTAACACATCCAACAGCCGGTTATTACATGAATCGGGATGTGTTTGGACTTTCTGGTGATTTTATTACTTCCCCAGAAATAAGTCAAATATTTGGCGAAGCAAGTATTATAATATTTTATATGATTCAATTACACTGTATAATTTTAAATTTTTATTTAGCTTGTAGCTGTTTGGATAGTTAATGAGTGGGTTAAATTAGGTAGTCCACAACCATTTCAACTTATTGAACTTGGTCCCGGCAGAGGGACTCTTATTAAAGATATCTTACGAGTGCTGACACAATTGAAATTAAGTGAAAAGTTATCACTACATCTTGTAGAGATTAGTGAATTCTTAAGTCAGTTACAAGCACAAAGCATTTGTTTTGAATTTGAGAAACTAAATGATTGTACTCTGCCATACTATCAAATTGGTAAATCTGAGAGTGGTTGCGCAGTTTATTGGTACAAACGATTAGAAGATATACCACAAGATTTTGCAATTATTTTGGCACACGAGTTTTTCGATGCGATGCCAGTACACAAATTGAAATTAATGGCGGGTA